CCCCCCCCCCCCCCCCAGCACCTACTTCCAGCAGCAGAGCTGAGAGACTGCCCAGTCCAGAATGGTCAATGGATGGACTCCCAATCAAGTGAAATTTGAAAGATGGGATTGGTTACTAAGTTCCAGTCTTGGGATCATGATCTGAGGGGGGGGCGCAGCGCTACCGGGAGCGCTGCACCCCGGCATCAACCACGGCGGAGTTCTAAGCTGGAGCGCGATATCGGGGCGATGGCAGGAGGGTGGTGATCTTCCAGCCGGCAATTCCAGCGCGTAGCGCACGCGCAGGGCCCAGAGGCGCTGGTCTAGGCCATGTCACTGGCTGACGTGGAGGATAGACCGACCCCCGACGGTAACTCGGGAGTTTCGCGTTTTGCCCCATCGCCGCTGCGGTTCTGCCCGTGGCATAGGGCCATGAGGCGTTGGGTTAGTCCGCGCCTGTGGAGCACAGCGGAGTCAGCCCTTGGGACCTGAAGTGCGCGTGGGTTGTCATTCTCTTCAACGACATCATCTGGCATCGTTGCACTGGAGCTGCTTGGAATCATCATCGTCATCATCAATAGGGTGTGTTTAGACAGCGCCACCATGGTAAGGGTTTCGTCATCGTCACCAGGAGGCTGCTCGTCGGGGTGCTGCTCGTCATCATCATAGTTATCATCATCATCAACGAGAGCCGGTTAACCGAGCCCTCATTTTTCACCTCAATTTATAAGAAAACCATAAGGCCATTTCAAGCAAACTCCACACCAATGTATAGAGTGCACTTAACCGCTTGTGTCATTATCGTCAGGGTACAACTCGTCCTCATCATCAAGGTAGATTTCGTCACTACTATCAGCAACAAGGTAAGTCCGCTGGTGTAGTTCGTCATCATCATCATCTTTTACGTTAGCATCATCAGCAGTGCTACCATCATTAATGGTTTACTATCTTAGGGMGCTATTGGCGTTGTTCATCAYCATCATCATTTTTCATGTTAGYATTATCAGTAGTGCTACCATCATCAATAGTTTACTATCTTAGGGCGCTATTGGCGTTGTTCATCTTTATCAGTATCATCATTAGTTCATCATCTTAGGTGCGAGTTAGCACCATCATCATCCTTTGTCATGGTCGTCACCATCATCATTATCATCACCATCATCATCATCATCATTACCATCATCATCATTATCATCATCATCATTATCATCATATCATCCTTATCATCATCGTCATCATTATCATCATCATCATCACTACCTTCATCGTTATCTATACCATCTCAAGTCGATTCTTATCATCAATCATCATCGTCATCACCATCATCATCAACATCATTACCAACTGAAGTTGGTTCTCGTCATCAGTATCATCATCCGCTGGGAGCCGCTTTTGGTCATTCCTTTTTCTAAAAATCATCAACATCTTCAATGTTATTACCATCAACCGATAATTTTCATCGTACCACGATCATTATCAATCATAGCATTGGGCTAGAGTTTCTGTGGTCATGTGTGGATTTTTGGGGAATGGGTGGGGGAGGTGTTGGAGAGCCTTACTCTACAGGGGTGGGGTGGGGCAGATTTGTGGATTGTCCTTGTCTGGGGCCGGGGTGGGAGAGTTGGTCGCCTTCAAGCCCGGCGGGGGCAGATAGGGACAAAGGGGAGGGCGAAGGCAACCTCTAGGCGGGAATTGGCTGTCTTGGCAGAGGGGGGGAGGGAGGGGATCTGTTCCAGGTTTGGGCTGAGGTGAATCTCCTCGGCGGAGGCAGCGTGGGATAGGGGTGGTGGCATAGGGGAAATTTTTTCGGCGAAGTGACTACATGTTACATTCAGCTTTCCGGGGTTCTGAGAGTTAGAGCAGCATCTGACTTTCTTCTCTGTTAGGATCTTCGATCTCAGGGATGGTTACACCTGGACTGACATCAGTATGGTTGCTCTGTTCTATGCTCTTAATTTGCCGATACCAGAACGACGCTGGCTGGAGCTGGGGCGTTACCCTGTAACCTGCTACGGTAGGAGCATGAGGCCTTGTAGAGAGATCTGGGGTTTGTCGAGGGAGGAAGGCAATCCAGTGGTGATTGGGGGGGCCACCTTGACACCCTCTGGGGTCGGGGATAGTCTTGGTGGCGAGAAGAGGTCAGCTATGGTTGATGTTGTTTGGTTGATACTGTCTTTGAGTAGTAGTGTCCTGGTACAGGGAGGGTTAGGAGTTGCCCTCGGACTAGGAAGCCGGAGTTGCTGATATATCCACATACTTTAATAAAAGCTTTTTCAGAATCTTCAAAAACTCAAAACAAGCCTTCTGGTGCTTCATAATTTTAGGCGGTACCCTGTCTTCTACCTCACTAGGGATATAGGAATTCAGAGATCGTCAAACCTGGACTGATAACTGCTGCGCTGCACTGTTCTATGCTCTTGGATCGCCAATGCCAGAACGACGCTGGCCGGAGCTGGGGCGTAGCCCTGTAACCTGCTATTGGGCAGGAGTGGGAGGCCTTGTAGAGAGATCTGGGGTTAGCTGAGGGAGGAAAGCAAACCAGTGGCGAACCGGGGGGGCTGCCTCGACAACCTATGGGGTGGGGTTAGTCTAGGTGGTGAGAAGAGATCAGCTATGGTAGTCGTTGGTTAGGTTGGTCTTGTCCCTGAGTTGGAATATCATGG